TTCTTGAGATCCAGGGACTGCAAGTCCTTTGAGACAAAAGCAGCACCCACAGCCACTGTGATACCGATAAGAAGGAGAGCTTTCATGCATCCGTTGCCATGGGATAAGCGCCCGAGCAAAATCTTGCTGTGCTTCTGCACTTCCTTCAAGGATGCTTGACGGGCAGCATCATCCACACTGGCCAATGCCTTCTCACTCTACATTATCATAAAGATAAAAAGATCAGCTAAATTAACAACAGCTTACTATATGATGATGGATTGATAAATTTCTTTACATTATTCAGTTATAAGACGGCCATCAGATTACTAGTTTCCTTTCACAGAGAGGACCATTATTTATTCTCCTTCATTGTTTACTTGACTAATCCAGAAAGATGAATAAGATTTAATATGCCGAAACTCGTGTGTCATATTTGATGCCAATGACACCATGCCATTCCTTAACTTAGGTCACTCGGTGCTCAATGATAAGCACAGAAATGATACAACATCAATATAAATGTGGAAAAAAGATGATGATATCTGGCCTTGTAGGCTTCCTATTCTAACGCAATTGTCTCCCCCACCCCCCACTCCATAAAAAACAACCCAAAAGGGAAACTGAAAGCCATAATTGCCTTTTTTTACTGCAAACAGGCGATAATACAAGACTAACCAACAATTTTTAAAACTTTTGTCACCCTACTCTATATGGATAAACTTCATTTTTTGTTTAACAAATATCAGAGTGGCATGTTTAACTACAGAAAGACTAAGGTACCTTAAGTCGGATACTGTTTAAGGCCACCTTCAAGGGATCAAGACCAGGTCCCTTGGCAGAATGCACCTTGAACTCTGAAGACAGCTTCTTTATTATTATTAGACTTGCTTCTACATTGTCCAGATAAACATTGTCCTGTTACAATCACATAACAGAGCAGTCACTAGAAATGTAAAGACAAAAGAGACTGAGTTTGGAATCACTAGACTAACAGAGGAAAAAAATCAAGAACTGAGCTTTCTTACCCACAGTTTGTAACAGTCAGGGTTCTGAGTCAAACACCACATAGATAGCTCACTAGCTTCCCTTGTTAGCTCAGGGACTCCTATAAAACATGTAATAATCAGGATTATAAAGCCGTATAACCAATCACAGACAAATCTGAAGCTAGTAAAGGAGCCACAAAGCCAACATAGAGTATAACTTCTTGCTTTACCTTCTGCAACGGCTTTGATAGCAAAAAGCATTATCTGCTGTGTTATCTGCTTCATTGCTTTGCTCCCAGGGGAAGCAACAAGAGCGACCTCTTTCAGTATGGGATACACAGCTTCAAACCTTTCAGTGGCCTGAACATAACAAGTAGCATCACAAATTACTCAGATACAGAAGATTTCTTTTAGCAACTTATTAGAATATCGAGGGAAAAGAGCATAATGACAGTGGTAAAAATCACCTTGATTCGAGCAGAAGGTGATGGGAAGGTGATCCTCATCAAAACCTCAAGAGCTGATGGAGGCACAACGCGTTCTCCCTTTCTCACTGCACCATTCATGAGGATAGCACGAGCTTTTGGCAAGGATACAATTCTGAAAGAGAAAAGAACCCACATTACCACCTGAAGAACTGATCGAACACCTTTTTGACAAGCTTAACAAGAATAGAAATACGTGCCTCTCAGCCAACTGTAAGATTAAGTCTCTCGCCTGTGGATTACTGTTCGATTTACTGCTTAACATTGGTAAAAGAAAATGTACCCACATGAACAATCCCACGATCAAATCACCTTGGCAAGCCTACAAGAATTAGAGACAAAATAGCACAGGAGAAATGATAGATGATGGGAATATCCCAAAGATTATCTAGAAAGGAAATCAACACCACCGAATGATGATTTTTACCTGAGTGATTGCCCAAATCATGACTTGAAGCTTATCTTGTCCTTGGTATTTCGCATTTTCATTCATTATTGGCAAGAGACTGATTAAAACATCAGGTTTCCGTCGCAATACCATTGCTAGAACCACAAACATGGCAACCTGCAGTTCAATGACATATATTAGATAAGTACTTTATATGATGTCACAAATATTAGCTATGAGATCCTTCATATCCAAGTTTACCAACTTGTGGCAGATTTTGAATGATTAATATACAGTAGAAAGAACCAAATGAAGAAAACTAAGCCAGAATAAAGTTTGACTTAGACCAGTCTACTAATTAAGCAACACCACATTGACATCCTCTTTTCCTTTTCTTATATTTGAAAGCAGTTGCAAACAATTGTAAAACTGCATCTAGTAACTCTTAGGAAGCAGAAACGCGAGAGAAGAAAATTAGTCATGCAGATTCACGAAGCGATGATAGAGTTTCAGACATTTCTTCTCCACTGAAGTGTCTATTAGAGAGTTCAGCAAGAACCTAGAGGGAACTCTCAATAGAGAAGGTTGAAGTACACAATGATCAAGGTAAGTATTCTTAAATTTTTAGGGCTGACGCAAATTTGAGAAGAAGATAATGAGAAGCTGAAATGGAGAACATCTAGACAAGCAGAGTAAATACACAGTTTCCAATGTGCTGCAATTGACGCGATTGACCCAAGTTTCATAAAAGAATGGATCAGATAATTATTATTCTAGTCGAGAAAGAAGATTTGTTAACATGAAAAGATAAAATTTACACAACCCCAACCATTTAATAAATGAACATATCATGCGATGTAGCAAAACCAGTCAATGACGACACAAATGTACAGATATGAAAGAGAAATAACTCCAGACTCCAAACTTTTTAACTAATAAATATTAGAAAGGCGAGAGGCAAACTGAGGTTTTTACAAAGCTTTTACTTTGGAGTTCTTTTTTTAGAAAAAAAAGTACGAAGCTTTTAGTTAGATAAGGACAGAATTCAAATCCCCAGTAATTATTACATTTATTCCGGATAGATTCCTCCTGCTACCCCCTTAGGGCTTCAAATCCAACATGCAAAATGAGCATTTAATACAGATTGCTATAGAAATACATCCGGATATACAAACAAGCTTGTTTTGGAGGGTTGTTAATAAAATTGAGCTCTTACCATTACTAACATGGGTGTTCTGTTTGTCCTGGAAAGTGATTTTCATAATCACTATAACTTTTGAGGTAGTGTATTTTAATACCCTAGATTCGCTATAGTAACGACAAAGAATGTGGTAGTGATATTTACCTCTGTTCATTAATGACCTACCAAACTAAGGCCATAATCTATATGCTGTCAGTTAATCGGGCATTAAATACTAATTAACCATGATGCTATAGATTACTAGATTGTATTGAAACCCTGAGATAAGTATTGCTACCAGGAAGATGTAACCACGAAACACATGCAAGGTGTAGATATCCATGCCCTCTCCCCACATTCACCCTTTTTCTTTCTCCTTTATGGTGAGGATAAGGTTCCTCGAAATAATAGCTTCATCTAATTCCAATAACACACATGCAACTGCTTCTTTCCTCCATCACCATAAAAAGACAACAGCGGCTGATTCATGTAACCACACCACACATGGCACAAAACTCTCAAAATAACATGCAGAAAAGACAAAACACAAACCTGAGATTTTGAAGGTACTTGCTGAACCACCTTTTTGGATCCCTTTGAAGCTCCTTGGTGCTGTACAAGATCAGCAAGAATGCTATCCAATGACCATAACACAAAGGAACCAAGAGCATCAAACGATCGCTGGTTAAGCCAGTCAATCGATGTCTTATAGACATCCTCAGAAATTTGAGAAAGAGGGATCTGTTCAATATCAAGAAAAGTTAACACATCAAAAGAAACACCATTACCAATAATAAGATAACGAAATGATTACTGAAAAAAATGAATTGTGCAGGCATTCAGATGATTAAAAGCACTGGCAATAATAGAGAGGGAAAAGGAAAGAAAGAAAAAAGAAAAAAAAAATTATTCACTTGGATTTTCCAGTAAACCAACCTAAGATTTTTATCCAAAACCCCAAGCAAGACCAAGAGCAATCCCTTTTTGTGGGGGGAATTCTTTTTTCTTTTCATTATGTTAATGATTGCAAGAGGTCGGAAATCAAGTTGTTTCTAATGATGAAAATACCAATTTCAAGATCAGAACACTTCATAAAACATGCAAGGCATTCCCATTAAAAATGGAAAGACATCCATCTACTAATACAAAAACCATTCGGATATTTTAAAAGAAAATTAATCTTGCAGAATTATACCATGTACTTTCTAGTTTCTATTCACAATAGAAGAATGAAAAACCAAAATACAAAGACTCATTCTTTAGCTTCAAAAGCACATTTTGCATGTCAAAATTTAAACATTTTTTAAAAGATTAAACCTTTAAGAGAGAAATTAACTCACATCAACCATTTTTTCAACTGCGGATTCCCTGAGAATCTTCATCCAAGGGAACTGTGATGAACTCACTTTCGCAAATGCACGTCCAAAGTAATCCGCAAATCTCATTAGCTGTATATCTTCCTGCTTCTCATACGACGCCTTCAACAAAATTCACAAACAAAAAAATAAAATAAAAATAAAAAAGATCAAAAAGTTTTTCTTTTCCAAAATTTACGAAAACTTACTGATATATCAACGAGAAAAACAACGAGATCAGAGTTATCGATCTTCGCAGCAGCTTCGGCAACTGTAACCTTCGGTTTCTTCGCCTTCTTCGGTTTACTCTTCTTCTCAACGACGGCACCACCACTAACAGCGGCGGCGTTTTCACCGTCACTGCTACCATACTCCTCCCCGTTACCGTTATCAATAACGGCGGTTGAATTTTCAGCTTCATAGAGCTTCTGAGCCTCAACTATTCGCTTCCGTCTCTCCTCCGCATGTTCCTCGATCGATCGAAAAACATCACCGCCGGAGCTCTCGACGCCGGCGATCCAGTCATCCTCCGGCTGCTTCTTCAGTGATTGCTTTTTGTTTTTCTTCTGATACGACACCGTTTGCCAGCCGTGATCTTCTCCGATATTAACGCCGTTAAGTAGTTTCTCCTCAATTAGCATAGAATCATAATCTTCCATGTTGAAAGAGCACAAAAAACAAAGGAATTAACGGCAAATAAAACGGAAAAATGAAAAGAAATTTTGCGTTATCCTCTCACTGTTTTTTTTTTTT